AGTTAACAGGTGATAGGTGGATTACTTCTGAAACCATTTAGAATTTCGCTATGTATGTGTATAAAGTGATCCTGCACACTGCTTAACAAAGCTTCGAATCATGATAACAATTTATCCTTTTGGAAAATGCAATTCTCACCATGTAACTTGGATTGTTCTACGCGAAATGGCATCAATAAAAGCAATATATTTATTACAGACTTGAACGGTAAATATAGGAGTTGTCTTGCAGAGAGATACCGTCTAGAATAAATCACAAAATATAAGAATAGTTCTAGTTCTAGTTCATCTAGACTATATTGATATTAAAGAAAAGGTCAGGCGACCAGAAGAATTTATAATAATTGAGATATTTTGTAAGGCCAGCTCAAGATGCAAGGTTTGGAAGCATTCGACTTGAGCAAACCATTGCAACACATCAATGAATCCTCAAGCAATCTAATCCCTCGATCTGCGTCAATGAATAAAATCTTATGGTCAAACCTTTGTTTTGGAATACCAAAATCTTTCTAATATTCGAAGATTAGTTTGCGGACCATCTAAGGCTACGGACATCTTCAAAATACCTTTAAAACTTAATATCAGTTGCTAAACTCACCGTCTAATCTAAAAATGCTTAAGAAAAAAAAAAGGGAACAAGGGTTAATAGTCTTAGATGTTAGTGCGTATCCTGCTTGTAGTTCTAAAATTTATTTCTTTGGCCTAAATAAATTATAACAACAACAATAATAATAATACGATTGAAAACTTAAGACCTTCATTGTTCATTGTCACTGTTCAGGCCAAAATATGCTTGAAATATCGATTTCATGACATAAACAATTCTTTAATATCGTACAAATGTCCCTTCGGATAGAAACTGGTGGGGAATTTTAGCTTCTCAGCTTTTTTGTACATCTTTTTATTATGATTTTTTTTTTTTTTTTTTAATTTATTTTTAACATTTTTAAAGGTACACATACTCTTCTATACATATATCATATTTACACAATCGGGAAAAAAATTTCATAATTTCAAAGATCCACGTTGTCAATGACCAATGTAAGTACCTGCATTTATAAGTAAGTGACTCTTTCATTCTTGCAATGTCCTCAAAATTGGAAATGACAAGATTATCTTATAACAACTAAAACTATGGGAATAAAATTATAGACACATGCTGGAATTAAAATGAAGATGATGATCATTGTAATGATTGCTTATTGGCTTAATGATGATAAAGAGAATGTCCATATGCGGAAAGGCCGTGACCATAGCCATAGCTGAGAGCGGGTGCAGCTACTACAGCTGCAGCAGGCGCGGCATGTACGGCAAAAGTCGGAGCGGCATGGACGGCAACAGCCGGAGCAGCATAGGCAACTTTATTCGAAACTTTATAAGTATTGGCATACGAAGTGGCGACGGGAGCAACATAACTTTTAACGACAGCCGGTGCTGAATATGCTTTAACTACAGCAGGAGCAGCAACCACAGCCGGGGCTGCGTGATACGTAGCGGCATAGGCAGGAGCTGAAACAGCAAAGCCATGACCGTAACCGTAACCACCATAACCACCATAACCACCATAACCACCCAAATAGCCGGCGGAGGCTACAGCACAAAAGGCAGAGATTAAGATCTGAAAAATTTTTTGACATTTCATTTGCTTTTCTTTTTTCTTTTTTGTATTTTCGTATTTCATAAAAAACGAAAAAAAAAAAAAAAAAAAAA